CGTAGCACTACGGACTCTTTGATGAGGGCATAAAATGCAAAGAATGTCGGTCACCCAGAGACACCAAGACTTTCTCTCTCTCTCTCCCTCGCTCTCTTTTGTCTCCTCCTTTCCTTATGTTGTTCTCACTTTCTTTTTGTGGTACCTCAGCTTTGATGAAGTGATTTGCTGGAGTCCGTTTAATCTTTTTTGTCACAAAAAATAGTACATTTATAACACTAATTCAGTTCTCTTTTTTTGACTATGACCACATCCTTCCATCATGAATTGAATAATAAATAATTGAAATCCAGCAACTCTGAAACCATGACACAAATGACAAATGGTCTGTTTAACAGTGATTCGTCAGATGTGCTACTCTGATCTTTCAATATAATATCAAATCAAATATAACAATTCATTATTTTCATATTCCAAAACATCAAATCTCCATCATACTTTAAATATATGCCGTTTTTAAGCCCATCGTCAGATCTTTTTTTTGTTTGTCTGCAATTCAATTCAGTTTCAATTTAAAGTACTTTACTGGAATGATTGTGTTTACATACACATTGCCAAAGCATTATACACAAAACCAGTAATGAAAAAACTATTTTTCACAATTTTTTCTCCAAATTGTTTTTATTCAGTTAGCACAGACCTCCATTTTTGAGTGGAAAAAAGGATTATTTGTGTATAATTTTGCCAATGTTCACTCAAACACTGAGGTGTCTTATACACACGCGCACATGTTTACATACACATTGCCAAAGCATTATACACAAAACCAGTAATGAAAAAACTATTTTTCACAATTTTTTCCCCAAATTGTTTTTATTCAGTTAGCACAGACCTCCATTTTTGAGTGGAAAAAGGATTATTTGTGTATAATTTTGCCAATGTTCACTCAAACACTGAGGTGTCTTATACACACGTGCGCGCACACACATATAAATAAATATATTAGTGCTGTCAAAGGATTAATCGCTTCCAAAATAAAAGTTTTTGTTTACATTACATTACATTTAGTCATTTAGCAGATGCTTTTATCCAAAGCGATTTACAAATGAGGACAATGGAAGCAATCAAAATCAACAAAAGAGCAATGATATGCAAGTGCTATGACAAGTCTCAGTTAGCTTAACGCAGTACACATGGCAAGGTTTTTTTTAAATGATATCATAAATAAAAAGAAAACAGATAGAATAGAAAAAGAATAGAACAAGCTAGTGTTAGAGGCCTTTTTTGCTTTTGATAATTGTATAATAAATAAAAAGAAAACGGATAGAATACAAAAAGATTAGAAAAGCTAGTGTTCGTTTTTTTTAAGAAAACAAGCGTTTTTTTTAGAATAGAATTAGAATAGAGTGCTAGAGTTTAGAGGGTCAAATAAAGATGGAAGTATTTACATAATATATGTGTGTGTACTGTGTATATTTATTATGTATATATAAACACATGCGTGTATATATTTATGAAAAATGTTACGTTTATATATTAAATATATTTATATATGATATAAATTATATGACTATAAATATATACATGTAAATACATGTAAATATTTTCAAAATATGTGCTGTATGTGTGTGTATTTATATATGCATAATAAATATACACAATACACACACATATATTACGTAAACAAAAACTTTTATTTTGGATGCGATTAATCACAACTAATCGTTTGACAGCACTAATATATATATATGTATATATATATATATATATAAACAAACAATATGAGGAATATGCAATGATGATGGTAAATCAAGATTATGGATATTGTCCATGGTAGCACCGGAAATGACCAACTGGCATATATTGTCTTTGCTTTTTTGCCTCACCAAACACTTTTGGTCTCTCTTTTATCTTTCTCTTTCTCTTTCCTCCGCCCACTACAACCACTCGCTCTCTTTTTCCCGTCACGGCTCTTCTGGAGTCTTTGTCCCTCTGTCACACTGCAGACGTTCGTCACTCCCCTTCTCCTTTTTCCCCCTCAACCCTTTTTTTCCTCTCTCTTGCTGTCTTTCTTATTTTTGTCCCCCTCTTTCTCACTCTTTCATCCCCTTTTCACCTGGTAAAGAGGGTCAGTTGTGACCCTGTGTCTCGCGGGGCGTCCCGTCAGATTCTGATCAGTGGGGTGTCTCTTTGTCCTCTTTCAGTCGAGTCACAATAGGGCCGTGGAATGCCAGCGTGTCCGTGTCCAATCCTCACTCACCCCACAATGCCCCTGTGTCTATAACGGATCGCACAATCTGGTTATTTGGTTTGCTAGGAGTCAATAAAAACGCAAGGCCTTGAAAAGATGACCCCGTCTAGCCTGCGAACCCCTCCCAGAGCTTGTACAGGTCTTTCCTGGAATCAGACCCTCCCGTCTCACGTTTGCGTTCTCTTGCTTTATTTATGAAGAAGGATGGATGGCGGTTATTCACTAATTAAGAGGACTGACTCATTGCATCTGTTGATTTGGATGTTTGTTCCACTACATGCGCAAACCATCCTGGTAGAATCATCTCTTGGTGAACATTTAGACCAAATTCGACTGTTCTCCCCTACATTTTAATACTTGATGATGTTGAGTAATTGCAGATGTGTGTAGTAGTTCCTTTGGTAAAGTAGAAGTGGCCTTTAGAAGAGATCAGATTAGACTCCTGAAGTTAATTAATCCCACTTTATCCTGTTTCATACACTACACTGCCTTAATCCTCTCTAATGACTCCACTAAGACCTGTTTCATGTCCTCTGATATTGTTTTGTAGTTTTGAGGTTTGTTTTCCATTCAAATACTTTGTGACTTGACTGAAATGGCGCCACTGAAGTGAAAATAAGAATGGGAATGTCATAGGGGTCAGCATGTACAGTTAATCTCTGTTCTATCTTGAGGTTAATTATGCAATGAGTCCCAGTAAGTCTCCCTCTGATTGACGCTGGAGGGCGGTTGGAAGCGTGGATGATGGGATTTAGACCCTATTGAAGTCACTGAGGATCCTTGACACCCTCAAGAGAAGCAGCTATCAACTACTTCATTTAAAGCTTCTTAAGTGCTGTAGGACACGCATCCTTCACTTTTGCCATCCCAGCTTAAGTGTAGTTTATCTATTCTCTGTTCTCTATTGATTTCAACACAACGTTTAATTGATTGTGGAAATAAAGCTCTGTTCTGTTCTATTCTATTCTATTCTATTCCATAATGTTCTGTAGTGATGCATAATATATTAATACCATATCGGTTATCAGATGATATTATAGAGGTTTAAATTGATCTGCATTGGACGATATTGGGTATTTAGATTCCACTGGGACTATATACCACTATATACCATAAACTATATACCATATAGTTTCCACTGTGCGAACCCATAATAACCTGGAAAGAAATTGGCATTATGACCTGATACAATCTTCACAGCTAGAGACCCCATTAGTGTCCTCTTTGCCTGTGGCTCCAGCATTAGTCTGTGTTAACTTGCGGTTATGCTGAACTAAAGGCTATGAAACACTATTGTATTGTCTTCCATCACCTGTTGTCCACAGATGCCCGGCGGGTGAGAGCCTCCTCCGATGTGGATGGCCTAAGGCCATGTGTCGTCCATCTTGGTAACTCTTCTCTCTATAGGCATTGTTCCCTGACCTTTAGCCTCTTCAGAGCTTCATCAGTTCTTCTGCCCCCCTTCTTTAGCTGAAACTCAGCCGACGGGGGCCATCATAGATATCTTGCTGTGAGTGCTGTGACCTGGTCATTTAGCAACAGGTGATAAAATTATGAGGAGAATTGATTCTCCACTTGTGATTCGCAGTAACTGAATCGTTTAAGAGACATATTCTGCACTCATATTGTGTGATTTGGTGTGCTGTTTATTATGATATTTAAAGGTTTTAAATCGGAGCAGAAAGTCTTAAATTCATAAAGTTATGGCACTGAATGTTGCATGCATTGCAAGAAAAAAAATTAACGTCTTCCTCATTGTTTTTGTCTTGTGTTCTGGTAGGGGTGAATTCAGGTTAAAACTGTCCCAGTTTACCTGTATTCACCTCAAATATTTACTTGAGATGCAAAAAGAACAAATGAAATCTTGTTTTTGCAGAAACTCAACAAAATGAAGTGAGTTCATACTTAAAACAAGAACAAATATCTGTCAATGGTGTGTGAAAACTCGTTTTTCCTTTCGAATTAAGTTAATTAAAATTAAGATTTTTTTATTAGCCCATTTGCAGATATTTGTTAAACTCCATTTTGACTGATTTCACAGAAAACAAGACTATTTTCTGTCACTTTGCTTCTCAAGTGATTTATCTTGATTTAAGAATCTTTTGACATTTGCACAATACAGAGGAAGAACATCACATATTGGTTTGAAGCTGCTATTCAAACTTTCATTAATTTAACTTTTGTTTTAGTAAAAGTAATTAAAAACTATCAGAGATCTGTTATATATAGATTTCAAACATTGAAGCATTGCTGATACAAGACATTTACATTTAGAGACAATATTTGAAGAGTTCAGATGCAAAAGCCTCTAAGTGCCATTTAAAATGTTCTTCTAAAATGAGCATTTTTCTCAGGCTCCTATGTGTAGGTTCAGTCATTTCACTTTAATGGCAGTGAATAGGCTCTTTTCATTGCCATTAAATTAAAAGAAAAATGAACATAGGAGCCTGAAAAAAATGCAAATTTTAGAAGAAAATTTCAGACGGCACTTAGAGGCTTTTGCATCTGAACTCTTCATTTGTGTATTTTGTTACTTTTAGTTTGTTTCTTAAAATTTCATTATATGGTTTTAAAAATGTCTTCAATTTACCCTCGTGAAACCTGCAGAAATCCTACATTAAGTCAAAATAGGTCATAAAGATGTGTTATAACAAACACTATTACACTTTTTTAATATGGTTAAAAACTGTTTAATGAATAATAGCATTCTCAAAAATGATACAAAGTGATCCAAATTATATTATTAGACAATAATGTTGATTTAATGTTACATATGTTGATTTAGATGTCTCTCCATAATCTCTCTCAGATCTCCCCTCATGGTGAAAAGATCTCCTGAGATCTAAAAATATTTACTCTGTCCCCTTCAGTCTGTGTGCCTCTGTCTCCAGCAGAGAGCATTAATTGAAGCTGGTCCCGCACCTATGGTCACTGCTATGAAGGGTTATGGTCAGATGATCACGGTTGCCACAGTTGACACACAGCATTACAATGATTCAAGCTGGATTGTTTCTGTAAGAAAAGGAAAAGCGTACAGTCTATTTCACACTGTATTTTATGAAAAGTCTTTTTATGTGGTCTTTAGGAGATTTGTATTTAATATGCGACCCTGGACCACAAAACCAGTCTTAAGTCGCTGGGGTATATTTGTAGCAATAGCCAAAAATACATTGTATGGGTCAAAATGATAGATTTTTCTTTTATGCCAAAAATCATTAGGATATTAAGTAAAGATAATGTTCGATGAAGATATTTTGTGAATTTCCTACTGTAAATATATCAAAACTTAATTTTTGATTTGTAATATGCGTTGCTAAGAACTTCATTTGGACAACTTTAAAGACGATTTTCTCAATATTTATGTATCTCGGCCAAATATTGTCCTATCCTAACAAACCATACATCAATGGAAATCTTATTTATTCAGCTGTATACATCTTTTCAAAAAAATGTACCCTTATGACTGGTTTTGTGGTCCAGGGTCACATATGGTAATATATAATTTTTTGAAGTTCTAACAGCTTAGATTTGTAATACATAATTTATACAATCTCAGATCATTTTAAGTTGAACAAACAGACACGGTGGGTGAGTTGGATTAACCTACAGTAGTTAGATGTTCCCCAAGGGCATAAAAATTAGTAAGGTTGTCGTTTTAACCATTTTATAGGTTTAATTTGTTAGTTTTATTACTTTTTGAAATGTATACATTTATTCAGTTAGCATTAATTTGATCAAAAGTGTCAGTTATGTTATTTATTTATATTACACATATTTCTATTTCAAATAAATGCTGTTCTTTTGAACTTTTTATTCATCAAATAATCTTGAAAAATATAGATGCTTCAGTATTTATATAAAATGTTTCTTAAACAGCATATTATAATGATTTCTGAAGGATCACGGGGTAATGATGCTGAAAATTCAGCTTTGTATCACAGAATAAATTACTTTTGGACATATATAGTGACGTGACGTGGCCAAGTATGGTGACCCATACTTGGAATTAGTGCTCTGCATTTACCCATCCAAAGTGCACACACAC